TATTGTTTTGCTCCAGCAGACAAAGCCTCATACAATATTGTTTTATATGCAAAAACATTATTTGGAATTTCATACTAAAGAACTGGGAATTCACAACAAAACTGGGAAGTCCACATATACCCTACATCATTCACGAAGGAGGAGATATTAGAAAATCACAAATCCGTTCTTCTCTCCTCCTTTGTCATTTACATAAAAAATGATGATAAAAATAATACATCTTTGAACTGAATACTAAGTTACCTAAACAATATATAGCAAGGTCGCCCAGATGTTCGACTAAATATCTTTATAAAGTTCGTACCATCATTCTTTCTACAATAAAAGATAGTTTTCAGAATTATTATGATGAGGTATATTCAACAAGCGGCGTAAATCAGATGTGGATTCGTAAAAATTCCAAAGATCTACTCCAAAATATTCAATCACAATCTTTACAATTTTGCAGTTATATCAAAATTTTTGATTTTTCTACACTTAACACAAGTATTCCCCATGCTCAATTGAAAGATCGACTGTATGCTCAACGTCTCATTAAACAGAGATTTTTCTACAAAAATGGGAAAGGCAGATACAAGTTCCTTGTTTGAGGTCATTCAAAATCTTGATTCCCACCGAAGATGATATCATTAAAATGCTGGACTTTTTGATCGACAACATATGTGTTGAGTTTATTGAATTGATATTTCAGTCGGCATTCCAAAGGGTTCTTATTATGCATCACTACTGACCGATTTGTTTTTGTAACAAATAACCCGCATTTCAAAAATCCTGGTGAACTTGAGATTAAGGACATTACGGAAAATTGAAGATCTGCTTCATATGTTGATCTTTTCCTCGATATTGGTTGACTGATACGATGTGTCGGTATCTTAACTCAGTAGCAACATGTTTTTTGCGGTCTTAAGTCTTTAGATAACAGCATTGTCGTCTGCTTTGTATCTTTACCGATTGTGACATTTTGACTGAGTATGAATTTCCATGTTGGATGATACACGAGACGCTGTCGAAGTACCCGGTGTCGCACCTTTAAGGTTTCATGCGATTCCAACAGTTTTTGTTTGTTACCTTAATTTGTCTCTTCCTCATCGTATTACAAGATTTGAACATCGGTAAAGAAATGTCGCCTTAATTTTACCAAAATGCACATGAATGCTCCCATTTAAGAACATAGTGTTTAAGTTGTGATGTTTGCTGTTCAAGGGCCCTTTATCTAATTGAATTCATTCATTCAAGGTTATTCCCCTTAATTAAATTAAAAAAAAACACTTTAATTTTAAAACACAAAAATACGCCTAGACTTTGAGGGATCTGTTATATGGAAGCAGTCACGAATTCAATTCTTGGAATTTATTTGAAGCGTCTGAACGGTTAATTGTAGATTACACAAAGTGATTTAAATTTTGATACGAGCGTTGGGTTATTTCTGACTTTTTCAATGAGGAAATCGTAGAAAAATATATTTAGCATCCCGGTGTAATTGGTTTTATTATATATTCATATTGATTTTGAGTTATAAATTTATAACCAGAGTCAACGCAACTGATTTCTATATACTTGTCAGACGGGTCAATATGTCCCGAGTGCTGTAATTTAGAAACTACTTAATAATGACGAAATAACATTGTTCTATAAAACCTATTATCTCTTTCCATTTAATTTACATTATTTTCTATATTTTCAATTTGGAAGGATAGAAACACTTGGTAATTAAGGATACACTTTAAACAATGTTGTATATTATAGAAAGTAATGGAAAAGTAAAATTATGAGTGAAGTGTATTGTAAAGAAGTCACTGGTATGTTGTAACTTCATAATTTCTAGTAGCGATCCCAGAATCCCGACTTTAAATACATCATAAGAAAACAACGCGTAATCTGCAATTATTCAAATGGTATAAGATGTATGACGCCATATTAATAATAGAAAGCACGCTTCGGTTTCTTAAGGTTTGACTAATATTAGAACAAAGTAATGCAACACTGCATTAACCATCATTTTTTTCAGATGTTGTTTAAATCTATTTGACATTTGCAATTTACCTTTACGAGGTTTATGTGACGCCCGAGTCGATGCGGGCATGTGCTTGATGCCTTATTACATGAACTATCATGATTTTAAGCAATCTTGTTCTTCTTGAATATTTGTAGCCTTATGCTTTATTGTTCCGTGTGCCCTGACATCATTAGTATTTGCTCTACAAAAATGGCTTGCACATATACGGAAAAGTAATTGAGCTGACTACAGAAAAATATGTTCGCAACTAAAAGTCGTTTTTTTCCATCTGAATATCGAATAACGAATAAAGGTAAATAGTAAGTGTAGTTTTGCAATTGATAATTTGAACATTTGTTGATAAATGCAAGCATTATCAGATGATCATCAAATGCATACATTTTACTTGAAACTTCAGCTTAAAAGAATATTGAAACTGTCAACTTCATTACCAACCGGAAATACAGACTGCATATAATAACGTTTTCGTATCAACAACTGCTGCACTTATTTTGTATTCTTGTAACTAGACAATAGAATCATGAAGCATTAAATTGAAATTTGACTGTATTGAAAATCTTGAAACCTGCTCTAGTATTTCTTTAAAAAAACAAAATTGTAAATAAATGCAACATTAGTTATTTCATTAGGGATTCATAACCATATTTTTCTGCAGTGTGGTTGCCAGTGTTTACGCGCTGAAAGGCGTTACTCGCCAGGTCTAGTGCAAATGCATAGATTTTAAGATTAAATGTTGTTTTTCGCTCACCAAGATATCACATTTTTCTTTGGCTGCTACCGTAGACATGATTCCAACTTACCACCTTTTCATAAATGTCTTACGCTATTAATATCGTGTACTCGTCAAGATCATTCTGGACGTCTACTAAGGGTGACTTTTGTGCATATGAGTAGTGTTTTGTGCGCAAACAACCCAATAAAAAGATATCTACGTTGATTTTACACTGTACAAAAGTTCAAGCTCGTTAGTTGATGTTGGTTTTCATGGTTGGGGGTCCTACAGAGAGTTTTGGTGAGAGCACAACCGATTCTGACAGAGCGTTCCAGATGGTAACTGTTTTAGGAAAAAATAAATGATGGTATATGTTAACGATGCAGTGATATGGCTGGAATTTCAAACTGTAGCTGTTTCTTGTTCTTATTTCAGTAGCCCGTGTTGGAATACAAAGTGCTGATGTAGCTATTAGTTGGTGGATTACTTATTGCTAATAGTCTTGCATGGTTCTTCATTTTTCCAGTGTGTTCTAGTTGAAGTTTTGAACCATTGATGTCACACTGAATGGTTTGGTCCCTGGTAGTATTCCGCTGTATCTGCTCTATCTGTTTGAACTGGGTTTATCTCCTGTGGGCTTCAAAAAGATGTTGCAAACTCCACCTTTGGAGCCTAACTAGACCTTGGTATACTGTTTCTTTTACCTTGGATGGTCAATACTTTAGGTTCCATTTCAAAAACCTCAATACACTTGAAGTTTTCTTAGTTAGTTTAAACATATTGTATTGGTCAAAATGACAAATGGATTAGACACAAGTTCTTTAACTTAGTAACGTGTTCTCCAAAAGAAGCATTCTTGCAAATGTTGGCAATGTGCATATAATACTTTTAATAGGATGCCCCTGGACTCAACGCCTCGTTACGGATTGTGGTGTATATATAGCACCGGACTAATATTTATTAGCTCCATCTCACTTTCGTAGCAGGTAATTTATAACTAAAAACAAAGCCTGAAAAATAGAAGAAAAAAAACCTGATAAAGTATTTACCAAGTGTTCTGCTTTAAACGACATCTTACTTATTTCTGAAGGGTTCCACAACACGTTTTGTGGCAATAGCCCCTGAAATGTTCACTGGATTGTAAACGTTTGGTATACAAAAAAAGCTAAAGTTTCACACCCAAACAGCCAACGGTAATGTAAATTAGGAAAGTGACAATGTTGTTCTTGCAGTCATCTTATATAATTTGTATTCAAAGTATATCACTTGAAAGATCTTAAACCAGCGGTCATTTAATTTCATCCCGAATAACAGAAATATATCAAATTAGTGTTCCAGATAACGATGTATCAATTATATTTTCGACAAAGTCAGTAGCATACCGGCCCGGAAAAGAAAATGGCTACTATAGTCAGGAAATTGTAACATCAAAAACTTTGTCAAATGACACAAAAGCACATTTGTTTCCGGTGATATTAATGCATGTGCATGAATTGTTTCTTGTAATGTGTGCAACCTAATGTCAAACCAATTGATAATAACATAGGAAAGAATCAAAATTCAACTACAGAAATCTCAGGTATAAAGTATTTTAAAACTACCAATGTTAAAAGGGGAAACAGACGACAAGACAACAATACACGAATAAAACAAAGATTCAGTGATCTGATATCAAGTTGCATATAGCTACTGAACTATACAAACATCTTATTGAAAATAGCAAACTAAGAATAAGACGACAGAACAACCAGTCAAAAACAGCTGATCTACAAGGTTTACAATGTAATTACTACTATACATCATGTACTGTGTTACAACTCTAGATAAAGCGATAAAGCCGACGAGGAAAGACATTACTCGACTAACGAAAGTTATATTTAAATATAGTCTAGTTGGTCGAGTGGTCTAGGGCGCTGGAAACCGTACAGGCTGTGTTGCCACGATGTCTCAGATGCAAGGTTTCCCATCCCGTTGAGGGAAGAACAAAAATTTGCTAACACAAATGTGCACATCTAACTTTGTTGGGCTAAATTTAAGACGAAGTATATATACATTATGGTATTAGCCCTGTATAACCACACGTTATCCGACGGAGAACGTCTGCCATAAAGTTGTCACATATTTAGACGTATATATATATAAAGATGAAGCGATCTTTTTTTTTTTTTTGTAAACAAAAATCTCACATCAATGCAATCTTATTATTAAATCTATATTTATATGATTGCATAGGCTTGTAAATAATAACATCCGTTACGTCATTTTAGATATGTTAAACTCCGACAAAGATAAGATTTTTTATTTCCGCGAAACCAAATATTTATTTCCCGAAACATGCTGTAACAAGTTATCATAAATTAGGAGGATTCTGGAAAGTAAATATATCAAACCACAAGTAAGTACAATATGACAATAAGGCCGCACTAGTCTTATTATCGTTGAGACAATAATATAAACAAAACTACAAGATAATACAAAAGTTATCATCATCTTTCACAACTCGTTTCCTTAACCATGAGAAAAGACATTATTTGTTTTATAATGTATTTCAATGCATATATTAATTAGTCAGAAAAAAATTGTGTATACAAAAGAAAGAAAGTCATTTCAGTAGTAAGGGTAATTTCCACCCTTAAAATATTTATTCTTAAGTTGGGGTTTGCTCTTATGAATGTTTTTCATGTTACAGCTCTTCAACGTTTGAAGTGTTCTAAATGTTCCGTTATATGCTGACCTTGAATTTAGTCCAATGCCCATCTAGTTGCATGCACACAGATATCGTTTAATATTTTGTAAGCACTAATAAAAGTATTATTGTATCAGAAAAGTAGTTTACTCATATTTTTTTTAAATCTGAATACATTAATTTTCTGTTTATTCCAGTGATTATGAATCGAAATATTAAAAAACACTTATAATTACAAAGATATTTACTTTATCCGATTAAAATCATTTTAAAAGATTTGTATTAATTTGATTCAAATTTTACAAAAAAAAACGTGGATTTCATTATTTTCATCCAAGGTTAAAAGGTATCAACTGTCACTGAAGTGTAGGGAATAATAATTGTATTATTATATTCGGATAGAGGCAAGGCATGAAATGGAACTACAGAGTTCGAGATACCTCTTCCAGGGTAGAAATCAAAATTAATTGTTATGATTTCTAATAAAAACTTACAACGTATCTGTAAATATTTTCCCTATTTGTTGTTTCCATAAAAAGAAATACCGGCTTAGTATATTCAATTTTCAATATAACAGTTATCAGTTATCAATAAATATTACAATGCGAAACATGATCGTCATAATTGGTTTGCAAAAAGTTAAGAAAAATGGAAAGGAAGCAGATGCACGAAAGATTTTTTTATTTGTATTTATTTACGAACGAATAAATAAATAATAATGCAATTTTTCGTTGAAAAATGATTATCCTGGATGACATAATACAATAATATGCTTGTCAGTAAATGAAACGTTTACATGCACATGGCAGATTTTATCAGCAAGCAACAAAAATCTAATGTTTCTGTCTGCGGCAAAATAGTCAAATAATACATGTAGGTAGACAGAAATCTCGTGATATAACTTTTATTATTTTATGTAATAATTACACCCCTATATTACAACTACTTCTATAGAGAAACGATATAATTTTATCACTCATTTTAAAAGGTATTGATAAACTTTTTAAAACATGGTTTTACCAAGGTGAATTTTTACAGGAAGTTAAGGGCATACGATACAGTTACAGGGAAGGTAATGACGCTGCTAACGTAAAATGTTATTTTTGACGACGTCAAACTGTGACATATCGGGAAAAAAATGCATTTTTCGACTGATTTTTTTATCATTCAGACTGATTTAACTTGAAAACGAGTTCATGGACCCCTCTTTTCTAAAATGACATTAGGTTTGATTACGTACGAAGAATATTTGTACCAATTTTTATGAAAAAGTCACCCATGAAACTTTTTTTAAATTAGTTAAAAATACAGCAAAAAAGCCGTTTTTTTTTTCTAAAATCCTGAAACTTTGATAAAACTAATCATTTCGAAAGAATTGTTATACAAATTAAGAGCATACTTATGTAAAGAAGATTTTCCAAATATTTTTAAAAAAATCAGCTAGTGTTTATCTTTTGAAACAAAAAAGTTAGGTATGTCTATCCAAAGGATAGAAATGTCCAAAAGACCGAACTTTTGAGTAAATGTCTAAAATTTCGACCCCATTTATCTTTTAAAGTAGCACATAAAGATTTAAATTTTATTATATATTTGAATTGCTGAGGTGAAAAATAGCTTGTATGCAAATTTTCGTCAAAAATTAACCGCAGGATCGAAACTGTATCGTATGCCCTTAAGTAATCGGCTTCCGAGAAAAGGCGTAAATATATGCCTCTGAGAAAGAGCATTCGTTTGTGGGGTAACGATTTATTTTAAACAAAGACGTTTTTTTAAAATGTTGAATTAGTCTGCAAGTAAGGTCGACATAACAATCTGTAGATACGAATGAAAGGAGTTGTTGGGTATTCCTTAGTGAGACAGAAACACGAATGTACAGAAACTATTCAAATATCTGCCATGAAAGTAAAACATTCTTAGTGGTACTGTTATGAAAAAGAAGTTCCTTCATAACATACGTTCTAAAGGGAAGAAAGATTCTTTCCTCTGGAACAAATATTACAGTCTTTGTTTCCTGACGGAATAAGGATTATAGAATATTTGGTTGTTAAAAACTCATCAAAGTTTCAAACCTCGCGTTTCTTATGAATAAGACTAATTAGTGGCGCTCGAATTAAAACAGTTGTCGACACTTCCGTTCTAGATTCTTTTGGAGTGCATGCTATTCTTCCATGTTTTGTTTGGTACTTCTATTTGTCTTTGTTAATCGATTTATAAGATTTGAGCATCAATAAGCTCTTGTTGAATATATTTACTATATTTTGGATGTATTACCACTCATTCCATTACAGAAAAGATGAAAGATGCCAAATCGAGAATCAAACACATAAGGCATAGAGATATACAATCAAAAGTCTACAAATCACAATACCAGATACCCCGGAAAGGGTAACCATATTTTCTATTGATAAGAATATAAATGTGCCTCTTTCACACTTATTTTCAAACAGGGATTGAAATATCGAAATTTAAATAATGTAAAATTTATCGTCGCTTGTACGATTTGTGTACCATATATTTATTTTATCACATTTTTTTCTAGACTTAATTTAGTAAGATAATCTGCAAAAAAGATAAAAAGTTCTAAGATCTGCCCATTAATTTTATTATACGTGCTTAAAAGAATGATGTCAAAAGCAAAGATGTTGATTTGAATATAATACAATTTAGATAAAGCTGTTGCTAATAGTTTATTCATAAAAGTTTTTCTCTACCAATTTTCCATAAAACATGTCTATTATAAATCTGACTTCACAGTAACATTCGTTAGGAATACCAACACCAAAGATTTGTTTACTAATGAGTTACACATCCTGTCTATTGACAAATAGAATTAAAATTTGAAATGGAAAAAATGTACCTTTTTGCAATTTAAGGGTTCAAAAAGTTATTGTAGACAGATTTGAAACACATACTCCTTTTGAACTGCGCAATCAATTTTAGATTAAAGATTATGCATTTTCTTTCAGATATGGCTGGTATTTTAGATGCTTTTAGAGGACCTGGACCATCAACACATGTAGCAAGCAGGTATCCACATCCAGTTTGGGCAAAAGTAGAAGAAGAAAAGGTATACGTAACTGAACATAATGAAGACCTACACACTGGTGTAAATATACCCGGTCAGGTTGGATTAGATGCAGGAAGAAAACAGATAAGCAAATATCAGTGGGATAAAATTAAAGTTGGTTTCACGAGGATTCTTCCAAATAACGTTTTTAGATTCGATGTAGGGAAGGGAAAACTCTATGTGTATCTTACAGTTGTTGTGGAAGAAGGAGACGAAGAACTTCTCATATGTGAAGCCGTCCAGAAGAGAGCTGACTATAGCGTAATCATTTCCAAAGATGGTCAAGTAGTTGACTCGGTTTACGGCAAAATTTGGGAAGAGGTTCAACACTGACGTTCTCTATGCTCTTTGCTTCATAATCTGTATATTTTTTATAACAAATACATTGATAATCTTATACTGAAAACTCTGTAGTGCACAATTATATTCATACAAAGTTAGATAGCAGTTTATAATAATTGTGACGATTTCTTTTACCCAAACGCTTGATTTTGAATTTAATAGCGAAACTCAATCTACCATGATTGAAAAATATATCATGTAAATAATTTTAAAAGCGTTTATCTATTATAAAAATATAACAATGTATTTAATGTAACATTTAATATACGGACAGGATATTTTGACTAGAAACTAGAAATGTAATATCAGGTTGCTAGGGAACAAAAGTGACATCATCGTCCACTTTTTAAAGATACTCTATAAGTTATATTATTATCGTATTATTGATGTGAATAAAATGAGATGTGGGGTATATGGCAATGAGTCAGCAACCAAACGAAAACAAAAATCTTCTAGAAGGCAAAGGTATTCAACAATAGTAGGATGTCTACAGGATACGTCGAGCTCTATATTATCCCGATTCTTTAAAACAGTAGCGAAATATATCAAAGAGATATGCAAAACTCTCCAGTCGAAAACAAACTGACAATGCCATAGCAAAAACACGAAAAAGATTAAAACACAACTTAAAAACATAATGACAGAGCAACACAAGCCCTATCAAAAACCGGGTGGTGAATAAATTTAGCAGAAACAATAAAAGATATGACTTTAAAACTAAACTATCAAAACCACGAAAAAAATTGACAAAGACAACTACTGACAAAGTTTATGATTTTGTCAGGCAGATAGAATGTTTTGGGTTTAATATATTTTTGTATCTCAACCCTCTCCGTTTTGATATTGGTCAGTTGATTAACAACACGAACATAAAAGAACAAAAGCACTAATTGTAACTTGGATGGAGAGTTGTCTCATTGGCACTCATACCACATCTTCCTATATCTATTAAAACAATGGTATATTTTATCCTATTAAAGAATGCTTGTAGATACTGAAAGCATGCTCAATGTACTTGATCAACATGTATTGATTAGTAAATAAGACAATATGTAGGATATAATATCAGCTTATACACAGATAATGTTAATGTTAACTCCAGGCCTTTGCTAGATTCTGCGAGACTATTGGTATAGTTATTATTGTTGTCTGGGTTTTTAAGTTAAGTAACGAATTCAAATTACTTTGACTTCGTTTATTGTTAAGAGACCTACCTATTTCTTAATAGAAAAGATAGAATATAGGGTATCCATTTATGACATAAAATCAGTATGTGCATCTGATTAGAGTTTATGTCATTTATGGTTTGATCATCTCTTCAACGTAAGAGTAAAGTTTGGTTTGGTTTTCAAATATTTTGGCCTCAAGTATCACTGAAGAGACATTTATTGTCGAAATGCTCAACTTGTGATGTATGAATTGGTACCGGTAATGTTATGAATATCCCTTCGTCCCTATAAAACAACCGTCCGGATATATAAATATATCAATATGTAGTTAATGATCCATACTTTACATTTCAACTTGTATGGGATCGGATATGCACACATGCACGCATTGACGCGCACCTTGACATTAACATCGTGAAAAAAAATTGCCTATGCCAAAAAAATTTAATCAACACTGACGAATGCATCTTAACAACTTAAAGTTTAAACACTTTGTTGTTTAATGCAGTTTTATTTATATTGCTGTATTCTAATATTGATCAAGACCTAAAGAAAATCAAGCTATCTACAACGTATGTTGCTAATTGTTGTTTGTCTTTGTTTGGAGGTGTGTTATATTTTCGTTAGTGTTTGTTAGTGGTTCATTGTGATATTTCTTACCGTACAGTATTTAAGTTGATGTTATCCTTTATGTATTATTTTGACCATTGATATGGGGCCATACCTCTATTTTCAATTTGAAAATTTTACACCAGGTTAAGTTCCAGGGTTAGAAAATTTCCATGAATGAGGGTTTGTGAATCGGGCATGGCGTTGAAAGTTTGTCATCGACACATGCGTTTGGATATCCCTTTGGTACCGTGCACCTCTCTCTAATACCTTTTGAATAATTGCAGATTATGCGTTGTTTTCTTGTAATATATTGAACGTTTGTGGTTATATTTAGTGACTTTTTTTGTTTAATTTTTTTCCGACAATTTTGCTATTGATGATAGCTCTTGACCATTCGTTGTAGAATTAACTCTTTTGGACGCGGACCGATTTACGTTTGACACATTGTATCTACCACATTCTATTGTTGAAAACCGTATATTATTCAAAAAGACTTTTGTATTCGCGTCGTTTGGTATTGTGTTACATTAGCGTATACCGGACAAATCCCTTGAATTCATAAATAGGTCGAAACCTATTAATATTTATTCTTACAAGTATAGTGATTTTTGAAGGATTTAACAATCCGATTAGCTAATCAACATCGGAATTCAGGGGACGGTACGTTACTTATGTTAACCTCAACACGAATATGAATATTATCTCAGACAAAAACTTGACGTCTTCTAATAATTTTATAATTTTTTTGCATGTCCAATAAGTGTATTATTTTGTCGGATGAGTTAGAGGAGAATAATTACGACTACGATAAATATAGTAACACTTAAATATAACCACACCATTAAATAGTATGTTAATGTAATTATGGGATAGAGATTAAGAGTAGAGAACTAATCTGTGTCAATGTAAATGTTAAGATCATTAACTAAATAGTAACTAGTTGACAATTTCATTGATACCGAATTGTTTTAAACTCCTGAATTTGATTCATTGCATACTAAAATATTTACCCGAATTACAATAGATTCCATACAAAAACTAATGTAGGAAATCTTGATAAGGTATCAACATTTCCTGCGCATTTTGGGACTAGGCGCATTTTGATTTATCATCGAGATGACCTCCGATTACTTTCGAGGATCATGTGACATAAATTTAAATATGAATTCATTAATTTTCTGTTCTAAATTTCGTTTTGTTTTAATAACTGAACATGCTGAGCACATGTGCAACCCATCTCCAACTCAAGTTAAAATTAAAGGTTGCATATATACGAATCTATATGAGGTTGAATTATTGTCTTGCAGGAGTAAAATATAAATACTCGAAATTTGGAAAGTATCAGTAAATAAAGGTTCAAACTCCTTCAGGTAAAATTGACTATCATTTTCGGACCCTTTTGGTAAAAATCTTTACATATGTTTGAGATCATATAAATCCTTGGCTTCCACATAATTGGTTTTGAGCTTTCCTGGACACGATACAGCAAGAAAAGCCCTCCGAACGCATAACATCTATGAAGTGAAATTCTCATTTTGTTCAAGCTAATATTCCCATAATTAATTGTAATATCGACATCATCAATTTTCCAATCGTCAACTTCAAATTTCCCAGAAGTCACATATTCTCTGCTTTATTGTATGGAGTTTGAATATATCAGTTAATACGTTAAGCTGGTCAAAAACAGCGTTTGATCTCCGGTGCTTAATCAGATTCTGATCTGCGTATGGCACCCGTCATGTTGATTATGTAAGTACATTATGTGTTTTCACATTCGGGAAAAAAAACCTGGATTGTTGTTATGACAGTTGAACCATATATGTCGTCATCTGTGAAACATATATATTTCATAACGGTCAAAGTGGCACTCGAATCAACAGTCGGAAAGCCAAATTCAATTTTCAAGTTAAAAAGCTTTTAAAACCAAAAATTCTAAAAGGCTGTGCCAAATCTGGTTAAGGTCATTTATGCCTCGTGTAGATGAGAGGCGGATGATACCAAAGGGATATTTAAATCAAACGAAATTCTAATATGACGTCCTTATTTCAAAGCCGTGTTCTAATTAGCACAACATATGTTTGACGATCTTTGACACATGCGTACAAAATTACTGTTAACATTCCCGTTATTTTCATTTTTATTCTAATAAAATATATACATTTTAGCTGCTTACATGAAATTTTATTATATATTGTTTTTCAAACAACATATATTTACTCTGATATTATTTTTTCCAAAACTTATTAAATATGAAAATGTAATGTACATACTTCATGAGGAAGAAACGGGAACAGCCAAACATTCCGTATGTATTTTCGTACGCTTCGATTTATGAAAATACCGTATTTGTCCTAATAGAACCAACTACTGAGCAACACGAACCACACAAAAAACCGGAAGTGGTCTCAGGTGCACCGGATGCGCAAGCATATCTGCTCCACACACGTGGCACCCGTCGTGTTACTCATATAAGTACTAATACGGTGAAGTCTAATTCAGTAGGTCCATGATGACGCCCGTAAAATTTCCCAAGGGATGACTTCAACGCCACCACTTGGAACCCATTGTTGAGTTACTTCCTTGCAAGCAGAAAACCTTTATCAAGGCAATCATGATAGGAAATGCAAGCTCTGGGATATCGTATAAAACTCATCAATGATACCAGGGAGTCGGCTACTAGACTTGTGACATCTTCTGGAAGAACGTTCCACAATCAGTTGCATCGTTGAAACGAAAGGGATGTATCATTTACTGGAGTGACATATAACAAAAGGGGATTTAAAAGTAGAGAGTTCCAACAATACTTGTAGTAAGAAATACAAAATTTATCTAGTGAGAATTCATCAAATTGTACCTTCTCAATTAATGGCATGACTGATAAATTGGCAACTGAATGGTAAATATCGTAGAAGAATAACATTTTACTACCAGTTATATGATTTATTAACTAAGGATAGTAAATAACAATAAATCCATTAGGAAAGATGTGAGTAAAAACAAACAAACCGCATTCTAAACGAGACCTGGTATGTCGACATGTTAGTATATTCTGTAATGCGTCACCTTTAAACCTTTCAACGGTCATATGATAAGTGGCAAAACCTGCAACATGACAAATCCATAATGATATCAGATTGATGTAAAGAACATGTGTGAATTTTTGACCGATTTAACATATTTAATTTATAACAGGGAAAATATATGTAAATAGTGATTCCAAATAAAAAGAATAGGAAAAAACAGTATTTACATTATTTGTTAATATTTTGTGTCAAGTAAGAATCAAGATCGAAAACATGTCAAAATCGGTCATTAATCCAGATGGGTATTATGTGTAGTGTCATGTCAGTGTCAAGATCGAGAACATGTCAAAATCGGTTATCGATCTAGATGGATATTAATTGACACTGAAACCTTGTCGGTGATGGAACTTTCTGTCTACCACGCTGCATGTAACCACCTTATCACTATAGATGTTCCAATGATTACGCGGTTTAAAAAGATATAAAAAGAATCAACCTAATAGATTGAATAATATGTATACTAAGCCATGAATAACTACTGGAAGATGAATATACATAAAGTC